ATTAACTACAACTACACAGTGCTGAATACAGCACTGATTAGAACGAATCATATATCACAATCTAATAGCAACATGTGCCTGAGAGTTTTGGCAACACTGATCTCCATAAGCGCAATGTTATTTTCTTAACTTGAAACAAAGTATAGCAAGTGTGCAGCGCATGTAACGCACGCGGTGGCAAAAACAAAGGGTAACCGCAGGCCATTTCTAATTTTATCAATAAAATAAAGTTTTTCACGTATTTCTCAAAATACAACTACTTATCACAAATCGAATAAATATGCTAAATTTTAAAATACCCATTATTGTCAACTCTTTACACACATTGACACATTCCTCATTTGATAACAAAATTTGTGGCAGTAGAGGCAACAGTTTAAGGTATTTTTTGTTATCAGAGATACTGGTGTGGGCTTATTCAGAAATCTTAACAATGACAGTAAATGTAAAGATAACAAAACCCATATTATACACCGCTTGGGACAGCATTTTCAAAATGAGATAATCAATATTTTAGCCGAATCTATTCGTAATAAGATAAAATGCATAGTCAAAAAAAACCAAATATTACGCAACAAGTCTCGATTCTACGCCAAATATTAGACACAGAACAAATACCGTTTGTAATTAGGTGTGTAAATAGTAAGGAACATATTTTAGAATTTTATTATTCCAGTAACTAATACTTGCATAAGACCTGTGCAATTTTCTATTAGAGAAGCTTTTACCTAGTCTGTAGCTCGAAATTAAATATATTTGACGTCAGGGCTACGAGAATGGATCACAAATGAAAGAAAAAATATAGGGCTTCAGAAACGCCAGAGTATCATACGTGCACCATGAGGGGTATACATTAAATCTCATCATTAATGACCCTGCCAGATCTAAAATGGTGAAATTTTATGTTTTTTTATATGGTACAAAAGGTTTATAAATACTATTCTGTGTCTCCATATCGATGGGATTTAATAGAAAAGCACGTGAAATGTCTAACTTAAAACCGTTAAATGAAACAAGGTGGGAAAGTCGTATCAATAGTATTAGACCTATAAAACAGACCTAAAGAAATTATTGTTGTATTAAAAATGCCTTAATTGAAGATCCTACCTGAAATAATAAAATAAAAATGGGTGCTAGATGAATAATTAAGCGCCTAGAAACATTCAAATTTTCGTGTTCAGTTGATATTTGGTATGATTTATTATTAAAAATTGATGTCTTAAGTAAAATTCGTAAAGATGGCGGAATACATTTCATGCTTAAGCATATACTTAATCTTAACAAATATTTGGGAGTAAAAAGACCTGACAATAATTTTAAAGTATTTTTCGAATTAGCAACAATACTTGCTACAGCTTTTTATCCTGAATTTCCCATCTTGAAGCTTAGAAAAAATGTCCATTTATTTGATTTCGAGGGCCGTGATGAATTAATTTCAAATTCCGTCCAGCAGTTTGAGACTACTTTCTATTTTTAAATTCTTGAACACGCCATTTCCTCGATAATTGAAAGATTATCACTCATTATCTGAGTGGTCTTCAATAAACTGATTTCTATATGAGTTTTATAATATTTCTAATGATAACCTTATGAAGGCCTGCATTGATTTAGCTACTAAGTTACAGGTGCAGGAGGAAGAAAATATCATAAAAGATGCAAACGGTAAACAACTCTTTATGAAAGAAATTCATTCAAACATATTTTTTCAAGTGAAAAACTAAAATATTAGAAATTATAGTCAAAAATGATCTCCTTTCATGTTTTCCAAACTTTGCTCCCGCATTAAGAATTTTTTAACTTCACCTTTTTCTGTGGCTTCAGGCAAAAAAAGTTTCAGTAAATTAAAAATGATTAAGAAATAATATGACACGATTTTGCCATCATCTCTATCAGATATGAATTCTCTGAAAAAATTGATAATATCGATATTATTGACAAATTTGCTTTCCATAAAAGCAGGAAAGTTAGTTTATCAATAATTATTAGGACTATTTGTAGATAGTCTTTGTAGAAAGACGGATTTATATACTTTTCGTTTCACAAGATTTAGGCTTAAGCACTTTTTGTTATTAGATTGTATGTTCTGACTAAATACTGTTGTTTTGTTTTTCTAATTATAAAATATCTATTTTTATTCAAAAGGTTTTATTTTTGGCTCTTTTTTGGTCTTTTGGTAAAGTGTTTTTCACTATAACCTGCCTGACCAAAAAATAAACTTTTGCATTTCAACTTTTATTTGCTTTTTTATTAGTGTTTTACTTTTTATTCTTAGACAGGTAGATGAGTTTATGGCATCGTTAAGTGTTAATAAAAATATGACACATTCACAAAAATACACAAAGTTCTGATACCCCCAGACAATTTTACAGCAGCATGGGTTCTCTTTGCAGCAAAGTTACTTCTAAATAGTTATAACAAAACCATTGGCACATAATATGAACACATTTAGTTAGTTAGTTTTGGCATCACTATCCTATTTTCTAATCTGCCTCTCTATGATGAAAACTATTATGTACAAATGTAAGTAAAAACCCACAGTGGATCATGTGTTCTCCATTTGGCATCAGACTAGATGTACTCAACAAATTTTTAATGGTAACTGTAAAATTAACTTAGCAGTAAAGAGGAATTGATCAAATTCACCATGAAAAAGGAAAACAACAACTCACTACCATTTATGTATGTGTTAATCACAAATGAGGATATCATATGATATGTAACTAAATCCTGCAGAAAACCAACCTACACCAACAGATATATAAATTGTCATCCAAACCACAATATAAATATCAAAAAGGGAATCATCAAATCAATATATGATAGAGCCCAAAACACCTGCTAAGAAAGTAATGTATTTCAGGAGCAAAGATTTTAACAAAAATGACTAACCACTGTCATTTATAAACTAGGAATTCCATATGAATGAAGAAAGAAAATAACAAAACACCAAAAACAATCCAGAAATGTCCATATGAAGGTATTTGAAGACAACAACACCATATGTAAAAGGATTATCACAAAAATTAAATAGGATATATTAAATAAATACATCACAACAACATTCAAAACAACCAACACACTGAGATCCATTCTTTCCAAAACCAAACCTAACAACACACAGTAGCTATATCGAAGAACTGTATTTATAAAATACCTTGCAAATGTAACAATTTTTATGGATGAGAAACTTTAGGACCATTAAGTTTTAAGATAAAAAAGCAATCATACATTAAAAACAGTGACTTTGGCAGATCACAAATATGTATACATGCCTATGATAATAAGCATAAGATCATAATAACCATGAGAGTCCAGAAAGATTCATAAATAGTCATGGAAAACACAGACAACAAAGAGAGGCAGCTAGCTCTATTACTAAATAAAGAAAATGGTAGCAAACATCAATAGAATATAGCAAGATATACAGACGGTTACTAATATTGAAAGAAGTTAGCAATAACAATATATAGTTAATGGATTCTGACAAGAGGTATAACAGGTAAATATGTAAATAACAGGTAAACTTGTGTACTGTATGGGAATGACTCATAGCTCTTGTCAAAATCCATTACCTTTATCAACACTGAGTTAACAGCAGGTCAGAGACACATCATCTATAATTAACTATAATAAACATAGAAAGATCCGTTATAAACATTTACAGGATAAAAGAACAATGAAAAATAGATGGAAATGCATGTATTCCACCTAACGTATGATATACAAAATGAAGGAATCTCTTATGTTGCGGAAAAATTGTTGTGAAACTAAGAAGCAAATTCTATAAGACGAGCTATGATTTAGAGCAATAATTGTTGATCAAAAAAAAAAAAACAAAAAGAACAACTAATGCATGTCGCAGAAATGAGAATACTTCGATGTATGATTGGAATGAGAAAATTTTTAGTTCCTTAAAGAAGGTATATCTGTAAAGGGATTAATATTGGTTTGAGTCAAGTTAGACACATTCATGGAGAAATATACTAAGGGAAGCTGACCCTATGTACCTAAGCTGACCCTAAATGTAATGCGGATGGAGCAAACCAACCCAGCTAGAAAAACGCTCCTTGATAGACCTATTGGTCAAAGAAGAAGAGGAAGACCCAGAACAAGATTCCTAGATAACATAGACCAAGATATGAGAAATATGGAAATATGTGCTTGGCGGAGGAAGGTGATGGATAGGGACGACTGGAAGAAAATTCTTGGGGAGGCTAGGACCCACACAGGGTTGTAAAGCCAAAATGATGATGAAGCTGACCCTAAAGGTAAAGAGAATGATGAGGAATTATTAAATATGTATTTGTATTCTACTAATAATACAAGTATATAGTAAGGAAAATTTTTTAGAAGAAGATGTTGCATGGAATGAGAATTATATCAGATTAATCCACACATAAACTAAAGAATAGAGCATCAAACACACTGTATAACTTAAAATTACAAGATTAACATTAAATTGATTTATAACTGATTTACAAATAAATCATTAATTCAAGTACTGTCATTGTGATATTGTGGAACATCAACTAAATAAACAAAATAGAAGCATTATTCTGTTATAATGTTTTGATGAGTCCTCTATAACCTAATTTTATCATTTTAAAATATCAGTAAGTAAAAAGTAAAAAATGTTATTTAGGTAACAGTATTTAAATTATTATTTAAACATTTTGTTACTGCATACCTAATATTAGTTTTTTATCACATTTTAATTCAGTTTTACTGATAGAGACCAATCAATTTATCTATGTATCAGTACATGGGTTCAAATTAGTTTACATTTTGATAAACCATTAGCCCTATAACCTAAATCACCTGCAAAACAAATTAAAAATGTTTAATTCTTCATTTGGCCTTTCTGATTTTTAACAATAAAGTGGAAAATTTCCTTTAAAATCTAGAGTATACTGTTACCATTTTGTGAATTAACTATAGATGAATAAAGCAACAAAAGCTAATTTACATCTGAGGAAATAGTTTCCAAACCACATACATACCACTGAACCGTACTATTTTCTAAATGACTGAATTCTAAACACAAAAATCTTCCACCAGGCTGTAGTACTCTGTAAGCCTCTGATAGAACTCTGTCTATGTGTGTAACATTTCTGATTCCAAATGCAATTGTATAAACATTGAATGAATTGTCTTGAAAATCTAATTGTTCTGCATTTCCTTCTTTCCAAGTAACCATATTTGCATCATAATTATATCTACTACTTCGCAATTTTCCCACTTCTAACATGTGGGGATTGATATCACATACTGTTGCATGGCAATTTTGTAAATTCTGATTTTTTACAAAATCTAGAAATCTAAAAGTTATATCACCTAAAATACATGTAATGGTTAGTTTTGCGCTGACTTTAAGTATATTAATTTATTAAAGTACCTGTTCCTCCTGCAACATCCAATAACTTTGTGTTATTTGTAGGAGATAAGCTACACATAAAATAATCTTTCCAAAGCCTGTGGATTCCCATGGATAATGTATCATTCATTATATCATAGTCCAATGCAACGTTTTCGAACACTTCAAAGACTGCAAATGATTACTTTATTATCAATATAAATTACAATTATTTCACAAATATGGGATGAGCTTTTAATCTAACAACCTTAAGATCATCATTAAATACAAATATTTTGAAAATGAAAAAATGTTTTCTAATTTTTCACTGAATAAAATAAGTAACTTCTCGTGTCTACCTTTCTTTTCTTTTTCCTTTTCTTTTACTTTTTCAAATCCAAAATGGGTTTCTCTCTCATTTGTGCTTTGTTGTGTTAATAACCTAACAGACGGTAGAAAGTTATATTTTACCGAAAAATGTCGTCCGATTATCCGTTTTAACTGTTTAAAGGATCCTGACATTTTATCTTGGGATAATTAATAATTACAATTTATAAAAATTTATTTACTTTTACTATTTAAAAAGTAGGGTTATGTCTAATTAGTCATTGTCAAAAATGTCAAAGAAAGAAAATGAGCCAAGGACACCACAAATCACCTACACTTCATCTAATTTATATACCGATGCACGTCATCGGCGTCATAGCCTGTGACGTCACATGATACCAACACAAAATATTTAGGGTGTAGGTGTGTTCTTTTTTAGAAATACTTTACCGAGTACACTGGCATTACATCCACTAGAAATATTTTATTATATACGCGTAGAAATAATATTTAAAAATTTCTATTAATGTTAACTTAAAGAAATACACAATAATATGTTTCATTTAATTTGTATAAATGCATTATAAAGCGTTTTTATCAAGAACATTTGTTCTCAACACACTGTAACTGTATTTGAACGAAGGTAAAATTTTGGCATAAATTGGTAACACTTATTTGACATTTCCGGTGTTGACACTTTTTGTACTTCATTATTTTGAATTTTAAAGTGAATATCTCTTGTTTTAGAGTCAGGATTTTTTTATACTTTGGCAACTATGTCAACTTCGATCTCTGACGTAGATAATGACGTAGGTCGTTATTTAAATTAGATGAAGTATACCTTGTTATTAGTGGTCTGTGAAGGACACTAAACACAGATGTAGTCAACCGTTCTTGAACCAACCTTTAAAAAGTGAAGCCACTTTTCGATGTCCGCCATTTTTTTGGTGGCAAACAATAGATCTGACACCAGTTTTGTTTTTTGTGGTTTTTAAAAAAAAAGTGAATTAAACAATAATTTTTTTTTACTTAACAAAATGGTGAATTGTGCATATATTCTTTGTAAAAATCGCAGCGAGCAGAAAACACCAAGAATATCGTTTCATAGGTAAATATTTATAATAGTGCAATTGGGTATTAATTGATTTTACTTTTTTTTTCAATTTTAAACCTCAAAACCAATTTAAATTGGTATTTTAACCCCTTAACGTACACATTAATTTTGAAGTTATGGTCAAAAAATGATCGAAATTTTTTTTAGTGAAAATGTTTTGTTTTTATTATATAATATATAATTAAATAAAAAATATATTTTCAGTGGCGTAGAACCTTTACTTTTCCTGGGGGGTCAAGTGAAATATTTTATATACAGGGTGGTCCTTAAGTAATTGTACAAAAAGAAACAGTAGATTCTACACTTTAAAATATTACCATTTAAGTCAAGTTGCTTTAATAAAATGTTGATATTAAGAAGGACCATCTCCAAAGCAGACGAAGACCTTCTGCTTATATTTGAACGAAGGATCCTGAGAGGAATATTTGGTGGCATCTGTGAAAATAGTGTTTGGAGGAAGAGATACAACTACGAGGTATACAACAGATATAAACAAATATTTGGTGGTAAAGACGTAGTATCTCTTGTAAGAATAGGAAGACTAATATGGGCAGGACATCTAGCAAGATCACAGCAGAACAACCCTCCTACAAGAATCCTTATGTCACAACCCGTGGGAAGTAGAAAAAGGGGTAGGCCAAAACTCAGATGGAAGGATGTTGTAGATGAGGATGGTAGAAAGATTGGCGCAGCAAACTGGCAACCGTTGGCAATGGATAGTACTGCCTGGCTTAATACACTTGGGAAGGTCGAGGCTCTTTCATAGGGCTGTAGGACCATTGATGATGATGATTAAGAAAGATACAGGGTGTTAAAGTGGAAATTTAAAATTTTATTTTTCGCTATAACTTTCATGTTTGTCAACATTTATATATAAAAATTTACAACTGAGTATATACTATTAAATATTAGAAATTATAATTTGTTATATACTTTGATGTAGCTGATAGAGGGCGCCACATATGTGGCATACATTTGCACTTAACTTTTTTGCTCTTCAAGTTGCCGGTATTTTTAATAAAAAATATTAAAGATACATTATTTTTTTGCCTGGAGTAATTGCGTTAAATCAGAATTAAGCAGTTGATTTGTAAAATGCGATTATCTCGAAAACTGTTGAGTTTTGAAGTTATTAACAAATATACCTTTTTCTTGTTAAAATAATGTTTCTTTAATATTTTTTATCAAAAATATCGGTAACTTAAAGAACAAAAAAGTTAAGTGCAAATGTATGCCACGTATGTGGCATATGTGGCGCCCTCTATTAGCTATATCAAAGTATGGATCAAATTATAATTTCTGATATTGAATAGTACTCAGTTGTAAATTTTTATACATAAATGTTTATAAACAGAAAAGTTATAGCGGAAAATAAAATTATAAATTTCCACTTTAACACCCTGTATTTTTTTTAATATCAACATTTTATTAAAGCAAGTTAGCTAAATCGTAATATTTTAAAGTGTTGAATCTGCGGTTTCTTTTTGTACAATTTTTTAAGGACCACCCTGTATATACAGAGTGGTCCTTAAGTAATTGTACTATTGACTAAGTAATTGACTATGTTTGTCCAATATATTGATGTCTGTTGTTGCCTTTAAATGACATATCAATATATTTTTCGAACTCCTTAATATTAGTTGGTTGTGTCCATTTCTTTGATTGGTTCTTATTTATCATTTTGGTTCTTTCTTTTTCGGACCATCTCGTTATTTTCGCTCTTAATAACCTATGATCACTGCTTGTATTAAGCTGGTTTAACACATTTACTTCTTAAAATAATTCTTTTTTGTTTGTTAAGAAATAGTTGATTTCGTTTCATATTTCCATGAGGGCTTTCATATGTCCATCTTCTGTGGTTTTTCGTTTTAAAAAAGCTGTTCTTTTGATAGGAATTGTTTTTAAAAGGGAAAGTTAACAATTGTTTGTCTCTATCATTTCTGCCTTTGCTTCCAACATTTCCCAATATTATTTTAGAAGGGGTCTTCCTTAGTGCCTATTTTGACGTTGAAGTCGCCACCGATTATTAAGAAGTGGTCAGGATTTTTCTTGATTGCACAGAATAGTTGATTGTGGAATATTTGGACTTCTTCGTCTGGATTTCCTATAGTAGGGGTATACACTTGAACGATCTTTAGGATGAATCTTGCGCCTATTTTGGTGTTAAAGTAGACCAGCCTTGTTGAAATTTTGTTTATTGACACAATTCTGTTGGCAATTCTTTTGTGAATAAAGAAACCGACGCCTCCGACTACCAATTCTTTTTCTCCTTTGTATACCATAAATGGCCTGATGGGAGTATGAAAAGACTCTCTCCCTTTTTTCTTATAGAGCTATACCAAAACAGTTAGTGCGAGATAATTCAACCTTTTAGTAATTTTTCAACAAGATATGATAAATTTAAAACACATATATGACGACCATGTCAATATTGATATGAGTTTTCAACAATTTAAAGATTTTAGTTCTTTTTGTTGGAAAGATAAATATGGGTTTGTAAGGATTGCTTGTTATTTTCATGAAAATATCGCAAAGGGTTTGATACATTCGTACGTATTAATATAAAAAGAAGTGCACCTTGTTAGTGGTAGTAAAAATGGATACTCGAATCGCTAAACGCTGTTAAAAACCCGCCAAATATTAAAATAAAATTACCGTAGCTTAAAAAGTGATATTATCAAGTTTCAGAGTTAGAAAAAAATTATCAGCCCATAACAAAAAACAAGGACTTGTTATTAAACAAAAATACAAGAACCTGTTTCACCTAAATTTGAATCTCCTAAGTTTAATCCTGGTCGATTAAGCACACCAAATTTTATCAACTTGCGACTACATCACCACGTTCTATTTCGCCTAAAAACACCCGTTAAGTTTGGAGAACTCTCTATTATCCCGCCTAGCGGGGTCGAAGAAACATTTGAATCACGACTTTGAGAAGATATTGTTCTGAAGCTATTTTCTTGTGGCATTTTAAATTAATTGCTATCTAACTGGGAATAAGCCACAATTAAAGATAAAAATACGTTTATGAAATCGTAGGCTTCCACGGCCAGAGTCAGAATTATAGTTTATTCGTCTTCCGGGTTTGGACCGTGTCATTTGTGAGTGACCCAAAAGTGGGTTCATCTCGACGTTTCGCTACAATTGTATGTAGCTTCTTCAGGAGAACAAAGAAAAAGAAAATGAAGACAGGAAGATGGGTAGTTAGCAACGGTAACTTAGTTACTCAACGCAACCAGAGGCGAATACTAACTACCAAGATGGGCATTTGGTCACAGTAACTCAACTACTCAACACAGCCAGAGGTGAAAACCAAATGCCAGGACAGGGATTCACGTCCAACAGCTCAGAACACTAACGCGTCGAGAGGCGGGGAGTGAATCCGACGATTACTCCGCTACCGCTCTATTTATAGTCGCGGTGACCTGTCGTGTCGGGACGTATCGGCACACTCCGTGGCGCGAACATCAAGAAGCGCGCGCTGGCCAATCATGTGGCTGCATCGTGGTAGCGGGACCGGACGGCGGCTCTAGACTGAGATTCCAGATGGGAGACAAGTAGTATCCTTCCTCTCGATTGATATTATGTGGATTTTTTCGGATCTCTAGAGATTCGCGGAATTTCCTGGAATAAAAGAAGGGGATCTTAGAAATAATATGGGTTTTTTCGAACAATATGGAATGACCGGTTTCTTGGCAGTGTTCTGCAACTGCAGAATGGGAGAAAAGATCTGATCGAATGCATCTTTGATGCTCTTGAATCCGAGTTTTGACGGAACGACCAGTTTCGCCAATATACACATGTCCACATGAACAAGGAATAGAATAGACACCACAGGAAGATAGGGGCGGTAATGGGTCCTTAGGAGAGGGTAGATATTGTGAGATTTTCTTGGGTGGTCGAAAAGCAGTCCTGATACCTTCTTTGCGAAGAATTTTGCAAAGTCGTATATATTCCGTATATTCGAAGTGTCACTGATAGGATTGGCAAAATTCTTCGCAAAGAAGGTATCAGGACTACTTTTCGACCACCCAAGAAAATCTCACAATATCTACCCTCTCCTAAGGACCCATTACCGCCCCTATCTTCCTGTGGTGTCTATTCTATTCCTTGTTCATGTGGACATGTGTATATTGGCGAAACTGGTCGTTCCGTCAA